GTGTGTGTGTGTGTGTGTGTGTGTGTGTGTGTGTGTGTGTGTGTGTGTGTGAGTGTGTGTGTGTGGTCGGGGGGTAGGGATGGAAAAATAACTCCGATATTTGTTGTTTTCCCACATAAGCATCATGACTCAAATCTAAAGAAATATGCCGATGCCACAATGGGTAGAGCACTTAATATATAATTTTTTTAAAAATCTAGGTATTTAACGCTCTTATCGAAATACTGTAGTTTAGATCGTAGGCGGGCTACGGCTTTGCCTGTCAGTGAGTGTCAGGGCCAACTCGAACTGAGAGGGATACAACATCCCAGCAGAAAGACCAAGATACACGATAGAATTCTCCCCACTCGGGAACCGAAATCAGGTCTCTTACATGAGACGGTCAAGAGCTTAACACAAACCACAACACCACAGACGCCGATACTTTCCATAATAATGAAATAATTCAATGATTTGTGATGCGTTGTGGTGCATCAGGCTCTCGTCAAATATTGAAATAAAAAAGTCACCACTTATCTACTCCTTGGGCTTAAACATTTTTTTTTGGCCCAACATCTTTCTATGTCCTTTAAAACACACACTTTGGTGAGGATTTTACTTTTCAAAATGAACATTTGCACTTTTCAAGGACACTCAAGCTTTGGAAGTCATCACACTTTGGAGGTCACTTTTTCGCTAATCGTCCCTCTGAAACCAGGCGTCCCCCACCTTCTTTAAAGGCAAATATCTTGACTTCTTTTTAAGACAGATGGATATTTCTTAACCAGAAGAAAGACACATGAACTAGTAGCCCCATATGGCCAAACATTAAGGAGCACCTGCTTCCATATGACATATAGGGCCTATGCAGACAAAGATGACAGACTGGTCGTCGCTTCCGAACTATTTATATGTCCAAAGTGCACTCTTTACTTCTGTACACTTTGGACAAAATAGTTATAAGGCGACGCGGTGTTGAAAGGCACCAAACGCCGACAACTTAGGATTCAAGAAAGAGAAATACAAGGGAACTTAAAAAAAAAGGCTGCTCGTTTAGCTATCTCTACGGTCATTGCACGGGACGATTTCGGAATAGAATATGATTCATTTCTGTACATCATGACATTACCACAGCTACAGACAATGGTGAGACAAATGTAAAAAAAAGGACTAGATCTAGAGTTATATAAAAATTCCAGTGAGAAATCAAAAGTGTATAAACAATATGATAAAGAGCAATGTATCAATATTACTATTATATTTCCCTAACAACTTTGTTGCTATCCATGTCATCTTGCGCAATGTCTACCAATGAACGATTGTAGTTCGACATCATGTTATAGTTACAGTCCGGACGTGAAAATATGGCTCTCACCATGTCACTCAGTGATCAGTTCCCCTTGTTTACTCTTTCAAGATGATAATGGCAGAATCGTTTTCTTGTATTCAATAAATGAGTTTATGATGATGAAACAAATCTCCTACCTTTAGATATATTCTTGCCGTTTCAACAATTTTGCTGTTTCTTTATTTCCTTGTTTCTTTGGGTAGTCTTCGATTCATGTAATACAAGAGAAATATATAATAACAATTATATAACTTTCATTGATTTCCTGAGACCTGTTTGTACCTCTAGACCGCGCACTGTCATGGCCTCCACTCTTACGAACTCTTCGCCCTCTATTTAAAAACTTCACTTGAGAAGCGTGCGCACCATGCGTTACACCATCCTGGGTTTTGATAGGCAACTTCGCGATAGTCGAGAGGGCGTGGCACCTTCCCCCCTTTGCTCTTCATTTGACTTAAACTTAACTAAATCGTACACTTCATAGCGAATCGGAATTATGTCAGAGTAAAGTCTGAGACATAATGTACTATAATAAAACAAGTAGATCTATGTTGATCCTGGGGTAGAAATTTTTCTATAATGGGTAGCTAGTTTTAGTTTTAGTATGGTTTTACCGCGCTTGCAACTGCCAAGGGGTGGATGTCAACAGAGAAGTCCAAACGGGGAATCAGGCTTACTTTGCTCCCATTCAAGCCTCAACAGCACAAAGTCTGCTTCGACTATCAAGGCACCCCGTGAATAGCAGTTCCCAAGAGAGTGACAAACATACAAAGAAGCAGAGGAAAACTGACGATAGTAAGCATGAGGAAAGAAAAAGCAGCAGTTGCCCCTATGTTGTTCCGGCACAGTATGAGCATGACATTGATAAATCAGCCCATTTACAATTTCCTACAGTGCATAAGAACATGTTAATATCCCCCATTTGGGAATAGCCTAAAGACAACTTCAGTCAGTAGCACTACTCTGGTT